CTGAGTATTTTCTCAAGTACAGTAGTTTTGCACAATTATTCTACCGTGGTGGTTCTGGTGCTTATGTAAAAGGTCATATAACATGAAAAATGACAGAAACTGACGTATTTTTCTCATACTCAAGTGGTATTTTTTCAAGTGGAACAAGGGGTGACTTAGTGAACTAATCGCTGCTCTTTGACATACACAATGGCAGCAAAATAATGTTAAAAAAGGCACTGAAGGTCCATTGCAGTGGAGCATGGCTCGTGCTTTTAGCTTTGGGTTTAGAATGATTTTTTAAAAATGAGCTCAGACATCACATCAACTAGAGTTTTGAAATTCTGTCTTAGTCCACTAGATGGTGATCCTTGTAAATCAAGATTCAGGTAACTAAACAAGACTCAGGGCATCAACCACACTCTAGTATGCAGAATAGAAAAACTTGGTTACGACATGACATGATCTGTGTCATTAACCTATACAAACAAATTCCAAAACATAGTTGAGAAATTGCTTGAGCATATGACTGCACTGTGCCCTCAGCATTACAATATGAATATTGAGATCCAGCCACAAAGAAAACTGAGCTTGATCTCACTCCCTTCTTACTGCAAATCAGTTTGCAACATCCGAGCTGCAAACCCTTTTTGGAAGCTCATAATGAAAACTACAGCAAGGCACTGTGATTATTTGAGGCTGCTTTCAATGCACACACGTTTAAGCATAATTCATTTTCTGCGTAGCATGCACAAAATTCCATACGTAATCTTAACAAAAAACAAAGGCTTAGGGTATGGTAATAGAAATGTTTTATTAATCAAATATATTTACATTTCTTCGTCTTCTTTTTAAATGTGTGCCTGTTATTTTCATTTAAACACAATGTAATCTTTACAGTTGATATCACAAGAATACAGCTACATGCATGACTTAATTGGTCCTTTGCAGTAAAAAAGATGCTGTTTTATGAAGTTTAAAAAATGCAAGCAAGCTGTTTACCTTCCTAATTACAGTGTCATTATTATTTTTATTTCAACAGAGGACCCCTTCAGCATACTCTACATCTATTGGGTGGATTTATGCATTTTTTCAGATTGGCTTGACGATGTCAAAACTTCCAAAATCTAGACAAAATATAAAAAAGACTTCATGCAGTCCCAAAATACTTTATTTTCTGGAATCTTATCCACAGAAAGGGCTCTGATGGAACAGAAGAGTGCACTAATTGTAATTAAAAAAAAAAAAAATCATAGCAATTGATGACTCTCAGAAGCAATGAGGACTTACTTTTGGACTTCACCTATTTATTCATCTGAAATCACATCATTTTGTCAGTTATAAGACAGCATCACATAATGTAATGGCACCATACAAATAATAAATAGTAATTAAAAGAAGAGATGATGTTACCAAACGAAAAAAATACACACATCATTGCTTGTAAGTTTCTAGTATGTAATGTACTACAATTATTACATTATTCTCAACTCAGCTTTCTTTCATAGAAAGACAATCAAATTGTATTTAAAAAGTTCATATTTTGGGTCTATAACTGCAGGTTCATAAAGGACCTAATGTCTTTCTGAAAAGAATAACTCTATGAATGTATAAAATTTAATTCCACACTGAAAAAAAATCAGAACTAGGCACAATTTTTAAATATGACTTCCAACGTGTTTAGGGTTGGACAAAAAAAAAAAAAAGAAAAAAAAGCGCTTGTATTTATTTACCAGACTACAAAAAAAAAGAGATGCCAAGTACTTCAGAAATTCTGAAATGGCAGGCACATAATCACTACATTTAAAGATAATTGTAGTACACTTACTGCTTCAGTTTACTGTGTGCAGACACATACTGTATTCATAATAGACCTAAATGTACGATTGTTCTGTCAATACATGAACAGAAACTCAGTCAACATTTGGGAAGTGGTGCTTAGTCCAAACCTAGGATGTATTTTAACTTGTCCATGTTAGTTTTACATTTGCTATATTGTAACAGAATGCCAAATGTTATACTCGAGAAAAACCCACTGTGAAATCATGGGCTTTCACTGAATTGCTTTTGTATGCTGCCAAATCTGTTGTGAAAGTGCCATGTATAAAATAATACAATAACTGAAATTGTGCTTAGGCATCTGGCACAATATAGTGATTTACACAAGAAAGAATTATTTGGAAGAAAAAAAGTAAGTTCTGCAGAAATCCTACTCTGGTGTATTTTTTTTTAAATCCAGTAAAATCTTAAAATAATTGATCTTTACTTCACACCCATTCAGAAGAACATTTAGACACACATTTAATTAAAAACATATGAGTAAGCCTATCTATATTGAGCAGGGAACTTGCAATATCTGTAAGCACATACTTACGTGCGATTTGCATTACAGGATTCAAATATAAATCCCTTTCTGCAAGAGCCTGAGTGCTCCGCACTACCACTAACCACATCCCTGAACAGGAGAGCACGGTTAGATAATGCAAAAGCACAAGTCAGTGATCTCACAGATAGCTCACAT